AGACAAATACATTATCAATGAGATTGGCATGTTGAGCTAATCTAGTTGCTACCCTATTGCCCTGTCTATTGACGATCGCCACTTCATAAGAACAGAATTTCCGTAATTCGTTTGCCATATCAGTAACTCTGAGACCCGTAGAAGAAGTCACGTCTCTGGATTCTTTGAATATCTTCAAAACATTGGGTAAGTCTCCTTCAATGATTATCTCATCAATCTCCTGTTGCTGTGAAATGAGAATGGCTTCACTCATTCCATACAAACCAGCTGCTTGAGTTCCTTGATCTGCCCAAGTTGCATCCATTTTCTTTGAGAGGCCAGCCATAAACACCCCCGGTTCATTCCTAATGACAACTCCTATGCCATAGGTTTGGCCTAAATCCATAACAAACACACTAAAATTAACCTTAAATATACCTGCTTTGGGAGGAACCCATACGGCTGCAGCTTCTGAAACTGCAGGGGGGTGGATGATCATTTGATGCCCTTGTCTCTAGTGCCTCTTGTATTTTTTCAGTATACTCTGCCTCAACTTGTGTAATTCCCACCGGATTGGTCGAGATACCCTGATAGACCATTTATTTTTTCAGTATACTTCTTCCATTCTCTCTCTCTCTTATACCGCTGAAAACTTCTCTTTTAGACTGATCCACTATGGTTGGTAAACCTAAGTATTTGTCAATGTGCTTTGAACAAGCTGCACCCCCAAAATTCTTGGACAACCCCTTCCAACCGCGATCCCAGTGACGAGCCCGTCGCGCTCAGCTGCCGTTAATAAAGTTGACAACCTTTCTGCACAAATAAGGAAAGGGAAAAGGAAAAGGAAAAAGGTAATTAAAAAATAGAAAATTGAAATATATTTCCAAGCCACTATGAATTTGATTATGCTTAATTTCCACAACCTCAATGCTTTCTCATTGTCAATTAAATGCTATGTAATTATCTATGTTAGCCGCCTATATGGTTCTAAATATTATTTTCATCGTGGTCGATTTTGATATGTTCTAGAGTATGAGTATGCATTAAAATTTTATGTATCGAAAATAAGATTTTGTTAATCAAATAGAGACTAAGCCTATTATGTGCAATTTTCTTGAGGTGCTAACAGTATGTGACAATTGTAGCCTCCCAAAGACTTGATCTTGCATCCTGGTCAAAATTGTAGCCTTATCAGCTAGAGGGTCATCCAATAGAGGTGGAGGTAGACGTTGGAAGCCTTTGTTTCAGCATCTCCCTGTGGTGCTCATTGGGCGAAGTCACCCTGATCAGGCATTGGTGGGATATCAGCTTGGTTTGGCTGTGGTTGCTGCTATTTGGACTGCTCCTACTATTGAGCTCGGTGATGCTTATCCTCCAGAACATGTGCATCATTCAAGGGGAGGATGGAGCTATCGATGGAACTAATAGGATGAAGAATCTCATCACCAGGTACTGTATTTAGTTCCCTCACAAGTACCAATCGATTGATAAAACACTTGATGGAGTAATACACGTGAGTGACATTCGATCCTTTCAAATGAGCCTAGAAATCCAAAATGGAAGATCTATAGTGGCTCCTATGTATATGGCACATATCAATCTCGCCTCCTCCTGTCTTGTTGTCGATATGTGACTGCAGGGTGAGATCACACCAGTATCCCTATGTAGTAGTCTGAAGGGAGGTGTGAGAATCTATAATCATCACTGTACGTACAACCCACTATGCAACCTCGCCTCTCTAATGCTAGCAACTAAATAAAAATCAAGCTGATGAGCATCGCCTGTGGGTGGATACTGGGGATATTGTACCATCGGTAGTCTGAAGTGCTTCACAAACCCATTTCTGAAGTACAAAGTGTTGGACCAAAATAGTTTTTTAAGTATAAAAATTGAATTTTTGATCGACTTTGAACCAAAATTAAAGTGGGACTCGTTCGTTGTTTCGAGTAAACTTTTGTGGATTCATATTTTACTCCGCGAGGAGAATAATGTAGTATATTCACTTGCTCAAATCGAGTAAGAAATAAACGAGAAAATAGGCTTCAAAATGAGCTTCTTGAGATGTGGAAATAAATGTTATGTAATGTGGGATTTGACATCAATCCCACATTGGTTGAGGAAGAAATTCTACGTGAGCATATATAGGCCAAGTTTGTTTTATGGGATTGGGCCCCAAGGGGTACCACAATTTTATAAGCGGAACGAGCGTCTACATACCTTTGGTTTAAACACATGCACCACCCGTCCACCTCGCCACGCCACAGCTCAACTTGGCCAGGTTTGGGTGTGGTTTAGAGCAAACCCTATTTTTTTGGAGAAAATTCATTTAATTAATAGGACAAGAATTTCTTAATCCGAATTTAACTTTCAAGATCCTTTGAATCGCACTGGTTCGGATTTGTGCTTCCCTCCAATCCGAAATTTTTGAATCTAGTCCAAAATTATTTTTAAGTTGTGTCTGTTCATGGAGAACAGTTACTCAAGGTGTCTTCTGGCTGTTGCATTTTATCTTTTGGGTTGTGACTTTTAGTATGGTGGCTGTCTGAACAGTCACTAAAATGTCTATAAATACCCAGTTCATGCATTCATTCATTCATATTCATTGTTCAGTCTATTTTCGGCATTAAGGCAAACATTAGTGCATTGCAGTTAGCATTTCGACATTAAGGCAATGTGTTGGAGAGTACACAACACAATTTTTGGTTCACTGGACGAGTAGATTGGAGTGTTATTTCTACTCGTATAAAGATCATTGTATCCTGGAAGGCAGACGCTCGATATTCCATATGCATTGTGTGTGGGGGCGAAATTTGTCTTAAGGACATAGTGTCAAACACTACCATTGATCTACTTAAACTTCAATAACAGTTTCTGTTCTGCAACCGAGTTAGTATTTATATTGGTTAAATAAAAAGTTGCGTGTAACTCTTTCCTATAACTCTTTCATGCAAAACTGTTTTTGTGTATCTGTTTTGCATTTGATTGTTACTGTTTGTTATACATTACATGTTTCAAATCAGAAATTTCAATAAATGATTTTACTATATTTGGAATACCACAAACAACACAAAGGAGTCCTTGACAAACCACTTGCCTGCAAAACTCATGCACAACACTGACTATCGTGACACTTGGAGCTACGAAAATCTCAAGCCACTGCCTCTTGACAAATGTGGAAATGGCTCTCGAATAGGGCAAGTCCTCAAAGTTGACAGGACACTCAATGAGAACTGACCTCCTGGCGAACACGATGTGAGTCTCAACATAAGACTCATATGTTAGGAAATTTGTACGAAATTCTCAAACCTATGATCTAAGTAATAGGCTAGAACCTAAAGAGAATAGTTAAGGTGGCTTTGGAAGAGATTTGGAGAGAAATGAGAGTTGTGGAGAAGAAATGAGCTAAAACGCATGTTTTATAGAGGTTGGTGACCATCAATATTCCAGATTTGCTTGAGCAAGATTGTTTCCGCTTGAGCACACCATAATGCGAACATTATTTAGCATGCAATGCACAATCCGAATAATATTTAATATACAAGAATATAAAATCAAAAAATGTATCAGATTAATCTTGGACTTCATACTAATAATTAATTTGATCAAACAACTTGCTCTCAGAAAATTTAAGAACCAATGCAACATATATTCCAAACAACATTTATCAAGTCAAAGTCCTATTTGTATAGTCATTTATTCAAGACAGAATCTAAAAGAACAATCTAAGTCCACATGTAAAATGATTGATGAGTGCACAATATTGCATATTTTATGTCTCATATAATTCATTTTAGCTTTACTTATTAGCTATATGTTTTGTTTTAGTTTACTTTTAGTTTTATGAGGAATGTTTGTATTTGTAGGTGATTTATGGTAAAAACAACATTTTGCATTCATTTTTATGTTTTGAAAGACTTTGGGAATGAGCTAGAAATGAAGCTAGGAGCATTGCTGTTCAATTTTAGAAAAATTAAGTTTTACTGGTAGGTTTTGTATCTGTTCATCAGGTGTCAGGTAGCAGACCTATCGGTAGTTGTGATGTGCTACTAGTTCATTCATGTTTAACCTATCAGTTCATCTGAAACCAAAAGTTTGCTACTAGTTCATTGATGTTAAGCTACTGGTAGATCTGAACAATAACTTTGCTAGTGGTAGGTCGGGACTTGCTTCCTACCCATTCATTAGTATTTTATTTCAGCGAGGGCTCCTTTGAAAAGTCTATCAGCTGGGGATTTTAAAGGTACCTCTATTGGTAGAAAAAGAGGAAGAAATTAAGTCAATTATTCCATATAAAAACCAGAGCTGAGCAAGGGAGAGGGGATCAATCCTATGCTACTTTTTACAGATTTTTTCTTTTCTTCTCTTCAACCTTAGCAGATAGGGTTTTTCTTTAGGTTTTCTACCAGTTCTTCAATGTTTTTTCTTCTTTTATATTTACGAAGTATTGTCTTTCTTTAGTCCTTTAATTATCACAAGCAGAGTACGTTGATTCTATTTTTTGTAACCGTTTATAGTTTTCATCTCAACACAAGGTATTTGGTTGATTTCAATTCAAGTTCAATTTCTCTTTTGATTATGATCATGTTTTTAATAATTGGTTTTAGTTTTACTTTCGCCATGAGTGAGTAGTCAATTTCCTGTATGATCGGATGAGAGATTCTCATTCGTAAATATGTAGTTTGATCTAATTAGGATTTTTAATCTCAAAATTATTTTATTGATGGAACAATTGATTTTAAAAATATAGTTAATATGTATATCTCTTTACTTATCCATAGACAATTAGGTTTGACACGGACAATTCTTGGAATCACTGTAATCAACATGAATGTAAAGGCATGATCATACAAAAATTCTTTTTTTTTTTTTTTTTTTTTTTGGGGGGGGGGGGGGGAGTAAGAGTGACTTGTCAAATCCAAAAACGAAAACATGAGATCCTCTATTCATAAAAAAAAACATGAGATCTTCTATTCATAAAACAAAAGTTACATGTCTCAAAGAAAACATCACACAAATTTTTTTTAAAGCACATCAGATGGATCAATAGGATCAACAGTTGAATCATCAATAAGAACAGTAAAAGAAACGACGACAGGGGTGTTGGCCACAGGGACCTCGGTCGGGGGAAGATTCCTGCCTAAAGAAGAAGGGACGGTTACGTCATTCATAGATAAAAGCTCAAAATCAGTGGGAACTTTGGCTTCCACCAAGGCCGTATCCCACCCTTTCTTAAAATAAAAACCTTCAATCACTGGGATTTGCTCCGCCATAACACTCTCCGCCTTCTCAAAACCCTCATTATAAGCCTTGTCCTCAGCATCTTTGAGTGAAGATCGAAGGGTTTCCATATTTGCTTCAAGGGAAGAATTAAGCCCCTTCACCAAGGCAGCTACATCAAGAGTCACCTTCTCTAATTGTTCGGTTGTCTTTAACTTTTGGCCAAGCTCCTCATTCTGACCAAATAATTTCTCAATGTGACGCCCCAATTTTTCCAGGGTGATTTAGTATATTTTAAGTGACTTATGTGACAAATATACAAAATTCATCAAATGAATTGAAGTTCACGTACTGGTTTAGACTATACAATCAAAGCATCTAACATACTTTCAAGTAACTTAGGTACAAAGGATTTGTAATTTAGGCATTCATTTAATATCATAGTCTAAGTACCCAAATTATACATTTATCCCAAAAGTAGTCCATAATCGACACTATTATATTCTGTCGATTTTGAAAACACACCAATGCAACAAAACATAAGTCACAAATCTAGAATTTGCTTGAGCGTTAACATGAAATATAATATCTTGTCAGCCAACTGAGCACAAATATTTAAGATAGCTTCAGGAAGAAATTTTCGTCATTTCTTGATCTATTCCCTGCAAAAAAGTTAGGGTAAGCCAACGCCCAGTAAGAAAACAACTATCGAGTGTTAATCCCATCCCACATGACATAGGTCTACACGAAATTCTCAAATAATATTCTTGACAAGTAAATATAGCAATATTAAGCTCACAACGTGCTTAAAGCAGACATATGACGTACCAACAAATAGAAATCATTCGATTTAGCAAGTACCCAATATTACCTATTCGTGCCATGGGTCACTCTAGCCTTTCAATCTTAGACTATGGTTATTTACACCAGTACATCATTTGTTATGCACAAACTCTTAGGGAACACCGGGTACCTTTGAGGGCTCTAACCTTGAGTGTACCCCACCCCCTCGTCCTTAGATGCTTTCAATCAAGGCATGAGTAATCCCACACCTCGACGGATGCTATACTTGATCAAGACTTATTCTGGGTCTTTCACCTAAGGGAGGAGCGATCCCTACTTACTTGTCCCATATTGTTTCAAACATTATCATTTTGTGTATCACATCATCGATTATGTATACTAACTAAGATTATCACGTGCGATGCACCTTCCATCGAATTACCATCTAGTATACTCATGGTGCAGTTAGAAATAAGCATTTCAATACCATCTCGACATGTTAATACATATAAGAGTATATACTATTTCAATCTTAGTGTTATTATCACCATTGTAAACATGTCGTCATTTATCATTCTTTGTATGTCAACATATCTCATGTATATCATCATACTTTAGTGGTTGTTAATATTGACTAGAATTACATCGTTACTTATACAACCAATATATATACTCTTCATAACCATGAGTGTTGTATATAAATATATACACTCCTAAAGAGCTAATAATTTGTGATCGCCTCTATCTTTTGAGTTTTAGAAACTTTCGGGGTCTTTAGATAATTTCTAAAACACATGATCTAGTAATATGGCGTAATTTTATAATCTCTAAGACAATCTCATGACTGTTCGAGGTCAATCTACAATTTCATAAACATTTCCTAACTATTAAAAATACTGATTTAGTGTTTAGATAATATTTTATGATCTTCTGGGGTCATTGTGTAATTTCAACAGGAACTTATCTGTTACTCCTGAAAACACAAAAGGGTTTTTCTGTCACTTAACAAAACCTTGGACTTAATTTTATAATTTCAGTAAGTAGGTATATGTTGTAACTAAAACCAAAAGGGGTAGTTTCTGAATTTAAGTCATCATCTCCATCTGCGCCCAGTACTGCTATTCTTCTTCTTCTGCCTGATTTCATCTCTTAAAATTATTTTTTTAATTTCTTTAGGAGATACAAAACCCATTTGAGAGACCTACACATCCAAATAAGTATATAACATACTCACATATACACCAATATATGTGTAATTCCATCATGCATAAACCCACATGTTTCATATATATATATATACCAAATAAAAGACAAGTGCGGAATTCATGGAAGATAGAAGAATATGCACAGATATGGAAAATATACAAAATATTTCAATTAAAGAAAATAAATACTTACAACACTAGAACTAATGGTCTAGTGGAAATAAGTGGTAATAGGGCTTGAGAAGCTCTTCTTTTGCATCATGAAGAAGGCTTTACAAGTGAGGGTAGGATTACAAAACTAGAGGGTTTGTAATGTTCTTTGAAACTAGACTAGAGAGTGTCTGAGTGTTCAAAGCTTTCAAGCTTATGAAGCTTGGTTTGTTGAGAAGAGGGAGCTGCCTTTTATAGAGGTAAGGGACTCCGGATTCCTCTTGTAATAATTCTGCCTTTCTCTTTTACTCAGGGTAAAGTGAATTTACTTTCTTGCTTTCGGCTGAAAAGTGGAGTAAGATTCTTTTACCCGGGTAACTAGGACATGTTGAAAGGACTAGTGGGTCCTTGTTTGTCCTGAGAATCCATCTTTCGGTGGAAAAGCAGATTTGTGGGTCCTGCCTTTGTCTGTGAGAATCCTGCTTTTAGGGAAAGAGGATCCTATGCAGACTTGTGATATTATCTTTACATAGAGTAGACAGCTTTTCTTTCTTTACTGAAGAAAGTAGTGATTGAAGCCACTTTATGTAAATAATAATTCACGGGAGTGCAAGGTCAGGTGTGAGGTCATCAACATCAACAAAGTCTTCTATTCCTTCAAAAGGATCCTGAGCATATCCTGCTGGGAGTTCTGAGGAGGAACTTTGAGAAGATGATTCACTATCTGAGCCAAGTTGTTCAAGGAGCTTCTGGAGGAGCTTTGCCTTGGACTTCTTCTTGCTAGACTTCTTCTGAGAAACTTTAGATGAAGATTCTTCTGGTTGAGTTTGTCTTGTAGGAAGGTTAGCCTGGCTTGAATGAGCGGGCAGTTCCTTCATTGGAGTTGCTGGTTGTAAGGGACCTGGGACTACTACTGGAGTTGGTACCCTTACAGGGAAGTCTCGTTTCACCATTGCGATAGTGTCGCTATGCTGAAACCTGGGCCACCATTTGACATAGAATTGTCGGATCAAGTTGAATCCCACAATTTCCCATTGCCATTTGAGTATCCACGGGACTTTGTACCTGCAAAGAAATATTAGTAATAAAGGTAATGGGGACTCCTGTTTACTAGGACGGTAAAGGGAGTAAAAGATATTAATCTGATCTTTAAGATCAGCTGGAAAGATTTCATCAATGGGACCATGTTGATGCCACCACTGATTAAACCATGCAGGAATATGACTTTTGAAATCTTTATGGAAATTTAGGAACCAGGAATGGGACAAATCCTCATTCTGGTAGAGTAATATTTTTGACCACGATTCAATGTAGTCATAATAATTAAACTGTCTGGTGTGAAAAGGAAGTTCTCGGAGTAAAGAAGGGTGAGAACCCCAATCCTCAACAGAAATAATTTTGGTAATATACAAGCTATGATAGATAACCTTAGTTGGGTTTATCTTATCATAAATGGGCTTGGTAAATATGGATTTGGTATAGTAGAGAATATCTTGGTAAAAACTATGGGGTTTTTCCAAGTCTACTGGGATATAGGTCCAACCTTTTGGGAGGTAGGCCTGTACAAGGTCTTTTGGATCCTTGTATTTGGAATGGGCTAGTTCAATGGCTAGGACATTCTCAGAATAGGCTTTGACATAGTCAACCTTTGGGCCTAATTGGGCTACAAAGGGTTGTGAGGCCTGATAGGGGTTTGTCATGGCACTAGTGGTCCTGACAGGTTGCTGTTGGGCCATTTGTGTAAAGGTTAATGGGTTAATAGTGGTTGAAACGGCTACTGGCCGGATCACCAAAGCAGATTGGGCTACTGGCCTTGAGGGCTGAGTAGTAGGTTGGGCTACTGGCCTTGTGGGCTGAGTAGGTGGTAATAAAAATCTGTTTGACAAGACTAATGGCAAGTCAGGTTCAGATTTGGGTAATATCTTATCCTTTCCCTTCCCCCTGGAGTTTTTGGAGGAGGTTGAGGATAAACTAGGTTTCCTGTCCGCCATGGGGTTCCTGCAAAAACTCTCTGGTTAGGAAATCAGGAATGTAATTATGTTCTCCTTTGATATATTCTATATCAAAATCGAAAATACTCAAAATAGATTGCCAACGAGCAAAAATTTGCTTAGCAGCTATATTTTTGACATCCTTGGTCAAAACATCCTTGGCTGATTTACAGTCAACCCGCACAAGGAACTTTTGATTCAATATATCATCCTGGAATTTAGAGATACACAGGACAATAGATAAAATTTCTTTTTTAATAGTGGAATAATTCTTTTGGGTCTTATTCCAAATACCAGAATGGAACCGAACAATCTGTTCAGGAGAATTAGGAGATTCTCTCTGAAGGAGGATTCCACCATAAGCAATATCGGAGGCATCAGTCTGGATGATTTTAAAGGAATCAACGGACGGAATACCAAGACAGGGAAGAGTTTTAATGAACTTCTTGACCTGTTGAATAATAGAAGTATGAACAGTGGTCCAAAGAGGAGGATTTCCTTTGAGCCTGTCATACAGAGGTTTGATGGTTTGCCTAAGATCCTGATAAAAGTCAAAAACATAGTTTAGGGAACCTAAAAACCTTTGTAACTGGGTTTTGTCCAGAATTTCATCTGGGAATTTATCTGCAAATTGGATGGCTCTACTAATAGGAGTGATAGTAGAATCCTGGATATTGTATCCTAAAAACCTTACTGAGGTTTGGAATAACTTAATCTTAGATGCAGATAAGACTAAACCATTTTGTTTAACAATTGTATGAAAAGCATAAAGGTGCTTCCAGTGTTCTTCTATTGTTCTGGAGAAGATGAGTATATCATCTATATAGACAATAGAAAAATGACTGATACAATTGAATACTTCGTTCATTATGTTCTGGAATTCACTTGGGCATTTTTTAACCCAAAGGGCATGACATTCCATTCATAATGTCCGAAGGGAGTAGTAAAAGCGGTTTTATACCTGTCCATAGGGTGGATCTGTATTTGCCAAAAACCACTTTTGAGATCAAATTTGGAAAAGATAGTGGACTTATTGAGTCTTTTTATCAAATCCTGTTTGTTAGGTATAGGGTACCTAATCCATTCTAAAACCTTGTTTAAAGGTTT